TTGTTAAGCAGTGATTTTGGTATCTCCCCTGCCACCAAAACTTCTTGCAAAAACACCTGAATGTGTTATCCTTATGGAAGCACTGCACCAAAGACCTAATTAGGAGAATTTGAGGGTTAGATTTTGAGACTCACAGTGTTGGAGGTGCTCAGACCGGTTCTGTTTCAGAGCCACTATTGGCATTAATCCCTGAAGTATTTCCAATAGGGATGTTAGCTCAGGGTCCCTAAGCATGCAGATGCTGGGAAATAGGTGTTGGTTTAGTTTGAGGACTCCACGAGGTTCTTGGTAGGTTCTCCTGCCTCTACTGGGGGATACATGAATGGAAACACTTCAGCAATTGCACTGAAATGGAGCTGTGCAAATCTTCCCTAGTGAACCCAAGCGACCACCCGTACCCTGGATTTCAGCAGTGCCACAAATCCCTGGTTGTGAGTGAAGACCTGATGGTTTTGCCTTGACACCAGCTGAAACTCCGAAGGCAGATTAATTTTTTTTTCTCTGAGCCTTCAGATTCATTTGATCTCAAAGCAAAGCATGTGAAGTTGAGGTGAATGTGAACTGCAATATAAAGAAAAGGAGGTTTATGCCAGCCCAAATACTGCGGGGTTGTGCTTCAGATCCAGGTTCTGTTTTGGACAAAGGTTAATGTGATATCAGCTAAATCCAGGCAACTGAGCAGAGTCTGACTAAAGCAATTCATTTGACAAATTGTTTTTGTCTCAGACTTGAACCTGAACCTCAGTCATTATTTTATTACTGCTGTTAAAGCCATGCTGCCCTTATTTAGTGGGAGGACTGCTGACACTTGCTGGGACCTGCAAGAGCAGCATCAGGCTGTAGCTGCTCCTGCCCTCTCCCCATCCCATGTGTACTGGATCATCCTTTATGGGGAACTGTTCTGCAGACTTGTTTGGAGTCCTGTTCAGATCAGGCTTAAGTCTTCAGTCCTCCTTCACTGAATCATTGAATCATTAAATTTGGAAAAGACCTCCACAAAAGTCCAACCTGCAATGAATTACCACTGTGCCCACTAAACCATATTGTGAAGTGCCATGTCTTCTTGTTTTTTGAACGCTTCTGGGGATGGTGACTCCACCACTCCACCAGTTCCCTGGGGAAGCTTCATGAAGCTGTCTTGCTGTTGTTGCTGCTTGACAAGTGGCTCTCCCTGTCAGTCTGAGCTTCTCCTCATTGGTGTGGTACCTCTCCCTTGCATGGGTTGAGAAGGAAAACATTGAGAGGAATAATTTTGCTCACCCTCCTTTGCACAGTGCTGGTGGCACTTAGCACTTCGTGTAGGGCAGCAAAGGCAGCTGGAGAAGTGGTGGGTGTGCTGGGGAGGCAGGACACCTGTGCAGAAGAGATACATAAAGGGCTGTAACTTCCTGGCTGACCACCTGTACTATGGAATTGCCCATTTCTGGTTTTAGGTGTTATATTTGCTGTCATTTGGGATGTTTGAAGGAGCTACTCTAAGTCATTATTGACTGGGACTTTGGTCAAACCAGGGTGAGATTTAAGCATTGCCTAGCTGCAAACTGAAATCAAACTGAGAAGTTCATAAGCTTAAGATGAAGAACAAGTAGTTTGGGATTTTTATATAAGCTCTCTCACTGACTATCTATGAATTTAGGCAAGGAGGTCTAGCTTCCTCTCTGTTTTAAGGTGGAGAAGGGTGCACCCATATTAGACCTTTCATTAGAGGTGGGCTTTGGAGGCAAACCTAGTTGTCCCCAGATTTCACTGCATCCCAGTAATGCACTCCATTGCTACAGCCACTCACAAGATCTTTATGGAATCAGACCAGAGTTAGCCTGGAGTAAAACCCATGAAAATAAGGTATTGTGGCTGTAGGATCTTTGGTACCACTGTGCCTCTGTCAGTGTGCAGTGTCTGCTGGTGTAACCCCTGATTCAAAGAAATCCTTAAACAATATATATAAAGCACACTTTTATTATGGCCGGGGAAGTGCAGGGGGGTTCCCCCCCCACCGTGCATGTCCACTGAGAAAAGAAACACAACAGCTTTCTATACAGTGAGTTTCAAAAATTATCTATCATATACACTCTTTATGAAGCCTGCCTTATCTAAATAGACATTTGGTTGCCTAACTCCTATTCTTATTATTATAGAGTAGTTACATAAAGTTTTATCATTTCAAACAGCTTAGGTTCCCCCCACTCCTCTTCTGTCTCCCTTGCAATGCTATGTGCTAAAAGTCTTTCCCGCTTTCCCTGACAGTCCCTTTTGTTTACGTAAGCTAGCTTTGTCTTAATTGCCCACAATTTGGGCAGCAACCTTCTTTCAAGCAGTTACAATTTTGCAAAGTCACACTAACATAGCTAAATTTTTATTTTATTTTGTCTTGTCTTTATTTTACCCCAGCCAGTTTCACTGTGGGGGCACGGCTGGGACAGGTCTCAAAACTGCTGCTCGGCTCCCTCCTCTTGCACAGGTCGCTGCTTGAGTTGATGTGCAGAGCCACTTCAGTGCCGATGCTGCCTTGTACTTAATGACCTGCTTGGTGCCCAGTTCCAGCTGAAATCCGAGAGGCCTGAAGTGAGATTGTCAGAGTAACTCTTCTCCCTCTTCTCTCACTAGTAGGGATTTGTCCCTCAAGTGCTCTCAGACCTGAGGGCCTCCAGTGCCTTTTCAATACCAATATTCTTTAAGTCCTCTCATACCCAGGTCTCCGCTGAATTGGAGATAACTTTGAGACAAAAGCATGTTGTTTGTGTCCTGCTAGTGGAGAAATGTTTGCAACGAATTGAGATTCTTGGCTAAAAGCTGCTGCAATTTTGCAAATTCTGTCGTAAAGTTTTAGTTGTGCATTTTAATCAAGCTCAGCAAATCAGTTCAGTCTCCCTGACCCTGCAAAGTATCCTGCTCTAGGTTTGCCTTTGAATCCATTCTGCTTTTTAATGAACATTTTCCTATGAAGCTTTTCTTGCTTTGTAATTTTGGGATTTAGATCAGAAACAGAGACTGAATAATGTGAGACTTTTAATAATTATTCTTTTCTGACAGAAAGCACATATGAGTGCCCAAGATTTTTGTGCTAGTACATACAGATGCATACTTGAACTAGTGACTTGCCTATCTGTGGACCTTCCAGGATACACCTACTGCTTTTCATAGTAGGTCTATTAATGAAGGATTCAGTGGGAACTGAAATAATGCTTTTTTGGGAACAGGAAAGAGTAGATATATATATATGTAGTCTAATAGGGACAGAGTTGTAAGAAGAACTGTTCCTTATCAGTTTACCCTGGCTAAGGAAAGATTTGTTAATGTAAAACACTCCCTGGATAATTTTACGCTAAATTATCTGGGATTTTTTGTTCTGCTTCTTGCAGATTTCCAGAGAAGATGTGAGTTGTAGGATTTCACTTGGAAATTTTAATTTTGGGAAGTACTGGAAAATTGCAATGAGGTCCCCCCTGAGTCCTGTGTTCTCCAGGGAGAAGAGACCTGACTTCTTAAGTCCTTCCTCATAGGGCAGATTTTCAAGCCCTTTGATCATTGTGGTGACCCTCTTTTGACTCTCTCCAGTCTGTCTGCATCTTCCTTGATCTTCTAGGACCTTGGGATCTAGAACTAGCCACAGTATTGTCCTAGACATCATTAATTTGGAATTGACTTACACGCCTGAGCATAGTGATTTATATCTTTCTTGAAATATTTATGCAGATGGAGGAGTTCACTTTTGAGCTATTTCCTCTTTTGCTAAGATTATCACAAATCTACTCTACAGTTTTCCAGTTTTCATCAGATTTTCAGTTGGAAGTATGTCTGAAAAGTAATACACAGTTGCAGAAAGCTATGAACTTCAGGGGAAAATAATGTTAGGGGTTTTTTTTCAAGTATTAGTTTTTAGAAATGAAAAGTAGCTGTAAAACTTTAAAAAATGCTAAAAAAATTTAAATTTTCATTAGTGACTTCATGGTTTTGAATAAAATCTCTTTCTCAGAGGAGAGCAGCTGCATCAAGCATTCTAGTAGTCACTAATAATTGATGTTTTTCGGCTTATGCAACCACTGGAAATGGTGCCAGTCTCTTTAGGATTCCCTTTAGAATATATGAAAAATGTATATAATAACATGAAAATATACTCTAACGGCATAGTTCTGCAATGCGTGTTTTAAATACATCCATTACATATAAAAACCAGTATGAGTGTCAACCTTTCTGCTGCCATGCAGGCTATAGAAAGATGGGATATTCTGGACCTTAAGTCCTTTTCATCATTCTGTATTTTAGGATATTAATTGCTGGGTTTGCTGTGATATAGAACTTTTCCTCAATATAACCTTCAACCAGCTCACCAGCTCTCAAATTTCTACTCAAGCCGAATAGTAAGTATTTTTGGGAAATGAATGTGTAAGAGGATATGCAGTTTCAGCAAGGAAACTAAGAGGTATAATATTCAGTCTCTCTCTATATATATCTATCATACTGGGATGACTCAAGTTGGACTCGAGTTAGAAGGCAGGCTCTGATACTGCTGGGAATATACACAAGGACATTCAGTAACTGGAGAGGGATGCCAAATTTTTCCATCCATAGGTTATGTAACTATGGGGTTTTAGGAAACCTGCTCTTCATGAATAAGGTTTGGTACTGAATTTTGATATACCTTAGATTTAATTTTCAAAGGAGCTTCACTGATTTCTGTATGTGTTGGAGACCAGTTTTTTTATCCATTAAAATGTGTTGTACAGGATGGAGTTTCTTTTGCTGAATCTCAGTTTTATTTCTGTGCCCCCCTGACTGGAAACTTAAATTTTTTACTATCTAAGATTTTCTGAAATAAAAACAGCTTTTCTAGCCTTTCTGTAAGTAAAAAAGAGTCACCCCTGGTTCATCTGCTGGCTGGGAAGGTTGGCTTTTGGAGCATCTGAGAGTGGCAGGATCTCAGATGTGAGGGGTGGTCGTTAACGAAGGCGTGCCAAGGCTCTAATTAATATCACACTTTCTCTTTTGGTTGCCTTCTCTAGGAAGCTGCTGGAAGAATGCTGTGACCCCGGGCAGCTCTTTGCCATGACAAAGCTGAACTCCCCGATGGGAAAGAACCTCTGGTTCGACGGGGAATTTTTATATTCTGTCACAATCGACAATGCAACTTACTCTCTCTTCCCACAGGTTAGTAACTGTTTTTATTGCCACTTTAAGTATTAATATACTAAATGGTAACATGGTACAAAGGAGCATGAATAGGCTAAAGGCTTGTCAAGAAATTGAGTCTTCATTTCTTGGTACAAAACAATCTTTTATTTTTTTTTATTTCCCTGTTCTGAAAATTTTGTTGGTATGCATGTTAATATTTCCTTGGCTGCTTTTTGGGTGTGCAGATGTACACAAGGGCTGGTGAAATTGGGTCACCCATCTTGATTCCTAAAACGCTGAAATTCTGTCTATTTTAAGTAGGTGATTTCTGCACTTCAGTCAGGGATCACACTCACTGTGAGCCTGATCTCTCACCTAGGATTGCTTCAGTTGGGATCTGTACAGATCACATGCGACAGTACTTTGTGTGAAGGTGTTACAAGTTAATGAAGTTTGTTGGTGACAATCAATGTGAGCCCAACAACAGAAGCCAACAACTTGACTTTGTTGATTCTTGCTGGTTTTGAATGTTAGAATGATTATTGTTGTTCAGCAAAGGTGTTTTGGGTTAAGTACAGGGTTTTTGGGTGATGGCAGTTTGTGGTACTGATCTAAGCTGCTTCTTGTTTATTTAATTAATATATGAACTGCTGTTAAATAATGAGGTTGTTATATTGAATTTTGTATGTGGAAGAAGAGATGTTTTGTGTGGCTACACACTTAAAAGAAAGCCAACCGTCTGGATGTATTAATTGATTTACATGTTGCTTTAATTTCTCAAACTGAAGACATACGACTTTGTTAAGCCTCCCAGTAGATGTTGAATCATTCACACTGGGCTTTTTGTTTGTTGCTATTTCAGTTAAACGTTTAGCAGAGTTCTTACTTGTTAACCTCATCCTGCCAATAAAGCCTGAAAAAGTTGGTTTGGTTTGTTTGTTTTTTTTAAAGTAGTTTCCAAGATCTCAAAAACAGTTATGACTTTCAATGAGTTTCTTTTAATGGAGAAGTGTGAGGGGAAACTGTTGTGCAGGGCAGAGGAGATAGGAACAGCCACTTCCTTTGTTGAGACATCATCCTGAGGAGCGGTTTTACAGCTGTGTCTTGTTCAGGCTGCCAGTCTCCTGTCTTGTCACTTGTGCCTGTTGCCATGATCCAGACAATGGACCTTGGCTTCCCTCAGGCTGCTCCCAGCTGCTGTGTCCCTGCAAGCTCAGCAAACAAGTAGATGCTGAAACCTGCATGGCAAGTGGGTTTTTTTCCTGCAGTACAGCAGGAAAGGGGCTGCCCGCCTTGAGTGAATTTCTGGAGACTGGCAAAAAGTTCATGATGTGTTGCAGAGTAGCGACTCTAAGTCTTTTTCTGTGATTTTGGGTGTGATTTGTTGCTACAATATTGCATCATTTACTGGAGAGAACAGAAACCCTTGGCAGAGCTGTGAACTTTGTACCACACAAAGATACTGGCAACAGCTGTTCAAAATGTGGAAGTCCTTTCCAGGGTTTCAGAAAAACCCCACCTGGGCTGGCACAGGGAGGTCACTGTTCTGTGATGACTTGGGGATTTTAGATTTGATTTTCTTTGTATTAAAACCTAGCATTCTGCTCGGCTGCAGAGGTGTCCTACCTCCTCTCATAGAAAAGAGCAGAGTGCTGGATGGACTCCTTTAGAGAGGTCATTGCTGGTTAGGGAGAAATCATGGTCTGGAACTCCAGTGGTTCCTGGGCTCCCAAGCCCCATCTTCAAAGTTGATCAGTTGGCTGGATCAAGAGTAAGGATCTGGGAAGTCCTGGAAAGATAAACTCCTGAGGGACAAGGTGAGCTGTGGAATTGGGACTTCAGTGTCCCTTAGGCTTGCAAAGCGGTCTGTGAAGAGGATGGGTAGATGCTGGTGGTGGTGGAAAAGGTGAATTTTTCTGATGTTCCAACTGTGGAACAATGCTAGAAAGCAGCTCTGGGAGTGGTGCCAGAAATGCTGCCCCTTTAATGAATCGATGGACAGTTCGTTTCTGACAAATGCTACTCACTACTACTCCTTCTTTCCTTGCAAGTACCACTGCCTCTAATTTGATGTGTTATTCCTATGTATTTTGCCCAGAGGAATTTATCAGATGAAATCCTGGTAGGCTTAAAAGCTTAGGAAGATTTATTTGCAGTAAATTTTTAAGTGAAGTATTTCTCTGCTTCTCTCTTTGTTTCAAGAAAAATACTCACCTAAATTTTTCAGGCTCCCTCTTTGAAGAATGGTGTCTATTAGCTTGCTAGCGACTGGCAGGCGAGTTTTGTGAAGATGAATATTCCTTTCAAAAGTATCCAGAAGCTTAAAACCTCTCATAAAATACGGTTAATACTCTGAAATGCCCAGGGGATGTCATAGGAATGTAAAGGGCTCCAGCTATGTTGATATAATCGAAAAAATATTTCCTCTGGAATAAATAAAACTGGCTCCATCCACATCAATCTGCTGGGCTTAAGCAATTCTGTGCTTGCAAAAGATTTCTCAGTCCTGAACCAGTTACTAACTTATACGATAATGTAACTCAAAACTGAATAGGAAACTTGCCATATTTCATGGCATAGAGTGAGCTGGCTAATGCATCAATGAAGCCTTTTACAGGAATAAATAAGTGTGTCAGAACTTAATATATAAAATGTCTCTTACTCTTGAATGGCAACAATACAAAATAGAATATTTTTTTCTTCTGAGCAATCTATATTTAAAGTTCTTACAGCTGGGCCAACATTTTCTGATAGAGTGCTTTTCCAGTAAAAATGCTGTTTCATGAAAATATAAATTTAATATCAGTTCATTGGTTTTTCAGTTTTTCTTTGAAGTGAAAAGGTTAAAAGGTTTTGGTGGTATTATATTATTTCATTGTACCATTTTTTAATGTAATATTTCAACTGTTAGATTTCTTTTTTTTAATCAAGTCCTTTGCTAGCCTTTTATTCCTCAGACCTTGCATGATTATATTATTCCCCTTTTTTATTTTTTCAAGTTTTTGAGAAGCCAAGGGAGAAAATTGCAAAAGAAAAAAGCTTTTATGTGGACATAGTCATTCAGTGTTTCATTTCAGTTCATGGGAACAAAATCTGAAGTTGCAGAGTTTTGTGTGAACCCATAATTCCAGCTGCTGGAAGTAGCTCCTCTTAGTCTATCCCTCTCTGTGTCATTTCCCCCCCAATATCAAGAATTAAATTTTTTTTGAAGCAGAAATGAAACGTTACACAGACTGCACCATCTTTTCCATCCTGGAGAGAAACTGCTAATGGCTAATTGTCAATACCTAAAGGTCAGGAGAAGGTGCAGCTCAGGATGTGGCTCATCAGAGAAGACAGACTAGCACGCAGTGAGGGTGCCCACCTACAGCCCATCTCCCAGGACAGGCTAAACTGAGTTGCCTGGAGCTGTTGGATAATGGAGTGTCACTTCAATTAAAATCAGATATTTCTTGACAGCAGCTTTGTTATGTTACTTGCTGTGATCTACAGCATTATTTCCCACTCTTAGGAGAAAAGAAGCATAGAGTCTGCATATCACTGTAGGCATAGTTTAATCTTAACAGCGAGAGGTTATTCCTACGGCCTACCTTCCACTCCTCTAAACCTTTTAATTCAGACTTAGAGTTTCAATATCAGCCAGTAATTTTGGTATGTGTCTGGAGGCACTGAGAGTTCAGAGATGCAGGTGACCCTACTAGTCTTGGCTGGATAAATGTCTGAGTAGCCAGGCTGCCACGTCTCACGTTGGCCACTAACGGTCATGGGAACTCGTTGATGTATTTCCTCTCCATTGTGGACCAACTACTATACAGAACAGAGAACTGTGTGTTGGGGAGTGTCCCTGATGGGACAGAGACATACAGCCTCCTTGCTCTCCAGTCTGGAAGTTTAGCCATGCAGCTCTGGTCCTGTTGTGTTGCATCGAGGCACAACAGAAGGCATGACTAGCATTTTCCACCCTTTGCCATCTGACTAGAATGGAAGAAACCAGGCTTCCATATATTCCTCCAGTAATTTTTAGATACTATGAGTAAGTGTGATGTAACCACAGGAGTAGCTGAGATGTAACTCAAAACCATGTGAGAGAAACGTGAGCTAACACTCATCTGCTTTTGAGTTACAGAATAGAACAAGCCCCAGTTTCAAATGTTTTTTTTTGGGATATTTTTTCACTCTTTCCTGTCTTTTTCTTCCTCAGAATTTCAAAAGCAAATTTCAGATTATCTTTAGCATTAGAGGGGAAAAAGCCCTCACCTTAGTATTTAGTTGTTAATGCAAATAATTGATTTTTGTTACTTGTTGGCTAAAACCTATAGAAAGGAAAAACTGAGGTGAATTTTTGAGGTCTCCTTTCCCCATCCCCCAAAGGGTTAAAAAATAGTTAAATCAAATGTAACTTTTCACTCTGCCATGCAGAGTATTGGTTTGGAGGGTAGAGAAGTTGAATACATTTCAAAAGATATTTCAAATGTTATACTTCAGCTTTTAATTTGGCAAATTGAAAAATATTCAGTTGCATTGAAGCAGTTAGACTTGTTTGGTATCAATAAATTATGTCAAATTACTAAAGTATGGTTCCACAGCTGATCAAATCCCTTCTAAAGTTTCACCTGCAGTATGCTGTCAGCTAGAAGAGGGGCTACTTGCATTGAGCTTCTCATGAATAGTCATCAGAAATGGTGTTGGAGAAATCCAAGGGGAAAAACTGTAGGCCACAAACAAGTCTGGGAAAGGTGACATCAGTTTCTGGATACCTTGTGATCAAGAGAAAGGTGATATTTTTCAAATTGCATATATAATATAGATATTTATTTGAAGTTCAAATTCTTACTCTTAATATAAAGGCAGGTGAAAAGTTAGTTGCTCTGATTGCAGCTGTAAGATGGAGACATTCTCTGACGTGTTCTGTGTTTCCTGAATGGTGTATTGGGTAACAGTGAATTATTTTATGATCATGCTGTGAGAATTGTGGTTTTCATTCAGAGTGCCTGTTAGATTCTGGAAACTTGTTTAGTTTTTCTTGGTTGTTCACA